CTTCAAGCGTACCAACATCTGAATTATGGGGGTCCCAGAAGAAGAGAGAGAGCAAGACAATGAAAACCTAGTCGAAGAAATAATGACAGAAAACTTCCCCCACCTGGTGAAAGAAATAGACTTACAAGTCCAGGAAGCACACAAAACCCCAGACAAAAGGAACCCAAAGAGGACCATACCAAGACACATCATAATTAAAATGCCAAGGGCAAAAGACAAAGAGAGAATCTTACAAGCAGCAAGAGAAAAACAGTTAGTTACCTACAAGGGAGCACCCGTACAACTATCAGCTGATTTTTCAACAGAAACTATGCAGGCCAGATGAGAGTTGCAAGAAATATTCAAAGTGATGAATAGCAAGAACCTACAATCAAGATTACTCTACCCAGCAAAGTTATCATTCAGAATTGAAGAGCAGATAAAGAGCTTCACAGATAAGAAAAAGCTAAAGGAGTTCATCACCACCAAACCAGTTTTATATGCAATGCTGAAAGGTATTATTAAAAAGAGGAAGAAGAAAAAGGTAAAGATAAAAATTATGATCAATAAATACATATATATCAACAAGTGAATCTAAAAGTCAAGTGAATTAAAAATCTGATGAACAGAATAAACTGGCGAATATAATAGAATCAAGGGCAAAGAAAGGGAGTGGATTGATTATTATTAGGGGGAAAGGTGCAGGAAGAGATTGGACTAAAATCGTACACCTATGGATGAGGACAATTGGGGGGGGGGATAAGGGCAGAGGGTGGGGTGGGAACCGAGTGGAAGGGAGCCATGGGGTGGGAGGGTGGGGGGAAGAGAAACAATTATAATAATCTGAGCAATAAAGATTTCTTTATTAAATTTTAAAAAAGAAAATTGGCAGATGAGCAGACATTTCACCAAAGTGGATATATAAATGGCAAATATGTACATGTAAAGATGTTCAACATCACTAGCAATTAGAGAAATGCAGATGAAGACCAGGATGAGGTACTACTACATAGATATTAGAACAGCTGGAATTGAAAACCATGACAATTCAAATGTTGATGAGGAGAATCTTTCATACATTCCTGGTGAGGAGTTAACCTCCCTCAGAGCCTTTTCTCTTGCTACTCTCTCTGCCTGGAAGATTCTAGATATGCACGTGGCTAACTTCCTCAGTACATTTAGGTTGCTATTCAACATCATTTCCTCAGAGAATCTTTTTCCTTTCTTTAGTAATCTGTTCAAAACACACACACACAGGAGGAGAATCCAAGGTGGCTGCTCAGGTAGGCACCTAGCCGCAGCCGCATGCAACAATTTCAATAAAATACAACTAAAATATAAAATGGACATTACCCAGTACTATAGGAAAGTCGACTGAATGGAAATTCTACAACAAGAAGCAAGGAGGAAACCAGAAGGAAGAACTGAGGAGCTGTAAAAGCCCAAGGTACGGAGACACGTGGCACGCGGAGAGGGCGGAGCCGGAGAGGAGGGAGGCTGACTGCCTGGCTGGCGTTCCCTAGCGGGAAGGAGATAAAACTCCTACTGTGTTGGGCCCCAGTTCTGATTGCTCTGAACCCCAGTTCCAGGCCAAACCCCGGGGACCCAGGCTCACACAGAGGGAGCTGGGCTGAAAGGCGGAACCCCGGGGGAGCGGCGAAAGGAGGTCCCGGTGGTGCGCACAGAGAAGGAACGGTTGGCTGTACCGCGGGATTGCCCTGGTGGGAAGGAGACAGGGGCTCCAGTCTGCTCTGAATGCCACCTCCAACTCCACTTCCAACTGAACTGAACCCCAGTTTCGGGCCCATTGGGGGAGAGACTAGACTGTTTGGCAGCAGGCGAAAATCGAGGGTGCCTTTCTCTCAGAGGTGCTTGCAAGGAGTACTGAAGGACCTTGAGTCTCAGGAGTCGCATAGGGCGGAGCTGACGAAAGCCAAAGCTGTAGGCTCTACCCTGAAACCCCGCCCCATCAGGAAAGCTGCCTGCGAAAATGCCTAAACCAAATAGATCACAAACGAAAGAAATGGAGGACAAAAAGCGACTGGATATAGAGTTCAAAACCACACTTATAAGGTTTTTCAAGAGTTTCCTAGAAAAGGCCGATGAAATAAATGAGACTTATGAGGATATGAAAAGGGATCAACAAGAAATAAAGAACACATTGTCTGAAATAAAAAATATAGAGTCCTAAAAACAGAAGATCACAAGAATCAAGTCAAAGATTTGGAACATAAAGAGCCAGAAGACACTCCTCTGCAGAAGCTAGAAGGCAAGAGAATCCAGAAAATTGAAGATAATGTAAGAAACCTCTGGGACAACTTCAAACGATCCAACATCAGAATTATGGGGGTCCCAGAAGATGAGAGAGAGCAAGATATCGAAAACATACTGAAAGAAATAGTGACAGAAAACTTCCCCCACCTGGGGAAAGAATTGGACTTACAAATCCAGGAAGCACACAGAACTCCAAATAAAAGGAATCCAAAGAGGACCACACCAAGACAAATCATAATTAAGATTCCAAGAGCAAAAGACAAAGAGAGAATATTAAAAGCAGCAAGAGCTAAGCAGGTAGTCACCTATAAAGGAGCACCTATACGATTGTCAGCTGATTTCTCAACAGAAACCATGCAGGCCAGACGGGAATGGCAATAAATATTCAAAGTGATGAATAGTAAGAACCTACAGCCAAAGATAATCTATCCAGCAAAGCTATCACTCAGATTCGAAGGTCAGATAAAGAGCTTCACTAATAAAAATAAAAAAAAGCTAAAGGAGTTCATCACCACCAAACCAGAATTATATGAATTGCTGAAGGGGGTTCTTTCAGAAGAGAAAGTAAATAAAGATAAAAATTATGAACAACAAATACGTAACTATCAACAAGTGAATCTAAAAACCAAGGAAATTAAAAAAAAATCTGAGGAACAATATTAACTGTTGAATATAATAGTATCAGAGGTATGGAATGGGAGTGAACTGATGATTCTTGGGGAAAAGGGGAGAGGGGGATGTGGGAAGAGACTGAACATAAACTGTGCACCTATGGATGAGGACAATGGGAGGTGGGGAAAGGGCAGAGGGTGGGGTGGGAAGAGGGGGGGAAGGAACATTTGTAATAATATGAAAAATAAAAATTTATTTAAGAACACACACACACACACACACATCGTATTATTTTCTATCCCTTACCCTACTTTTATTTTTCTTTATGGCACTTGTAACCATGTGGCATTGTATGTTTGTTGTCTCTCTCATTAACCAGAATGGCAGGACTTTGCTTCTCCTCCTCTCAGACCCAGTGCCTAGAACTGTGCCTGACATATAGACCCATATTCAGCCAGTTCAGTAGTCCTGAAGAACCTTAGAGAAGTGGTCATGCAGACTCAGTTTCTAGCATTTGGACATAGGAACCACCACTTCTCCCGGACAGTCCAATCTTTTCAAGATGGTTCCAATCATCTTTCCAATTAGTTTAAAACTGCCCTCCTGCAATTTCCACCTAAGACTATAGACTTCAGAAAAGAAAGGGGTGGGGGAGAGAGAGAAACATCAATGATGAGAAAGAATCATTGATCCGCTGCTTCCTGCACGTCCCCTACTGGGGATCAAGCCCACAACCCTGGCATGTGCCAGACCAGGAATTGAACCAGCAACCTCCTAGTTTACAGGCTGACTCTCAACCACTGAGCCACAGTGGCCAGGATCCTCCTAAGACTTTTAATTCTACCCTCTAGGCCTGCATAGAGCATATCTTTCAGAAGATAACAACTATAACTCTCTTCAGCCCATTACTACTTGTTAAACAGGCCTCCCTTTCCATCATTTCTAGGCATAGTCCTCTGAGATGATAGAAAGAACATGTGCTCTGCGGACAGGTAAACTAGGTCAGTACCCAGACCTCACTCATAAGCACTGCATCACCTTGAGCAAATCATATCTGCCTATTAGGGATCCTGCTAGGATCCTAGGGGTCATGTATGTGAGAGTTCAGTGCCTGGATTAATGCTCACTGTTTTTCTGAAGGTACCTACAGGATATCAAGGGCAAAACAGATTTTCTGAATCTCATCATGCTGTCCCTAATACTTGCTCAATGTAGAAAGAAGAGAGTATAATAGAAGTGTACTGCCATCAAAAGGAGTAAAATAACTAAGACAGACGATGGGCCCAAAAAGGAAAATTCAGAGGATTCACAAACTTCCTGGTGGAGCCCAGGCAGTTCTCCCTTCCCTCTTTGTTGGAGAACCCACCTCTATTCTTTAAGGCTGGAGTCCAAGAAAGGCCCAAAAGCAGCTAACATCAAAGAGTTGGAGTAGGAGTGCTCGCTTTGGCAGCACGAGTTGGAGTAGGAAATAAGGAGAGAAATGCAGAGTTGGGAAGAGCTGAACTAGGACTTGGATTATGAATGCTCTCTTTCTTACTCACAATGTGACCCTAGTCAAGACTTTTCTACTCTGGGACTGCATCTTGTCAACTGAGAAATGCCAACTCTAAGATCTATCAAGATATGAGTGAATACTATACATGCATTCATCCATTCACTGGTTTCAACAGATGTTCAGTACATACTCTGGATGTACAGAAATCCCAGCATACAGGGATCCTTATTGTCAAGGGGTCTCACTGTCTATTAAAAGTTGCCCTCAATAGTGTTAGTACAATAGGGAAAATGGACTAAGTAACAAAAGGAAGGAAGGAGAGGGGGTATGAGAACATAAGGGAGGAGGTTAATGACCCAAAAAGAGAAGCAATAAAGGCTCCTTGGAATGTGGGTCCATTCTCTCCTCAATGCCACAACTTGTGTAGGACTTGAGCATACTCAGCTAATGCCTTTCACTGTCTCAGATGATGTCTAGAAAAGGTCTTTAAACACTAGATGATCCATTTTTACTGTTGACCTTTAGGCTGATGTTCTGAGTAGTGAAACATTGTGCTCTTTTCTGATTTATTGTCCATGACTCAGCCCTACCCTCGTCAATAAAATTCAGAGTAAAGATCTACCTTCTTAGGACATTCAGTATGCTGCAGGATCATTACTCACCCCTCTCAAGATACAAGCTCTTGTTCCTGGCTTTAGCTGTCCTTTTGGTTCTGGATCAGGCTTCCACAGGTAACTGGACTATGGAAAGGAGGGAAAATGGAGTAAGAATGGGGTCCTACTCATAGAATCATTGGAAAAGTGAACATGTGTACGAGTTAGAATAGCCCAGGGATGACTGAGATTTGGTGAAAAGCCTTAACAATGAATATGCTCCATTAATAAGGGCAGTCTGTCACCCGACCATGATGATGCTTTCTATTTGGGAACCTGGTGAATATCAGCAGAAGCCAGGGTATCCTTACTATCTGCAGAAGCAACCCCATATTCTTAATATCCTTGGCCCAGATGTTCATAGACTCTCATCCCAGGCACTTTTTACTTCAATTTCACTTCCAGTTGCTACTACATCTTGCAGTACCCAGTCCCATTACTTCACCTCTCCATAATTGTTTGGCTTTGAATGCTCCTTTAAAGCAATCAGAGGAGGCATCTTGCTCTTGTATTAGAACATATAGTGGGAAAGATGTAGGTTGGTGTTGGATATCTACAGTTTAAGGTGGTGCTGGAGTTAGGGCCAAAGATTCCTGGTTCCAAATTAAACATGGCCAGAATTCTATAACAACACAACAGGTTTCATGGCCACGTGGTGATAACTTTCTAATAGAAATATTTCCACTTAGGCTTCCCAGTCCTTCTAAAGTTTGTGATTTTTAATTCCATGGTTTTCCTTTGGGTTATTGCTGTTGGAAGTTGCATCTTCTTTTGGATCAGCTTTTCAAACTGAAAGTCTTTGCCAATCACTCAGTTGTTCTAAAAGCAAAGAAAGGTAATTCTGAACTAACCCTGATTTGATTTCAGAGTCCCTTAAACTCTGGTGAGGGCAACTTGAGTAGATGAGAGAGTTGAAAATGCAAAAGATACTTTGGAGAATGAATCTGCACATTGATTCATGGAATCAGAGTCATCTTGACTCTGATTTTTCTAGTCTGCACATCCTGGTGAAAGAGAGAAATGGTAATTCTCTACCAGGAGGGGTGTCTAGGGGAAAAGAAGTAGAAGGAATCTGTCATTTAAGGCAAAATACTAAACTATTTCAACTGGACTCATTGTGCTGGGGACCCTGGGTCAGCCCTTTGTGTTTTATTGACCCACATAGGGCTGGGTCACAAACAATAAATCACATAAGGGCAGTGTTACACCATCCAGCACATTAGCCCGCAGGCCAGCAATATGAATTGATAATTTAGTGTTCAAAGTCCCTCTCTAGGCATCATCTAAGGCACTTGAACAGTGCCTGGCACATGTAAATGCCCAATAAATCACTGTTGAGTGAATAATGAAGGGAAGGGGAAACATAATTGAAGGTGTAGGCCCATCCCTGGATTTGGGGACAAGGAGGAACCAGGGTTGATGAGACTGTGAAAAAATTATGAAGATGGAAACATAATATAGAAATAAAATCCAACTGAAGGAAGAGAGATAACCAATCATATCTCGTAAACGTTAAGACCAGCAGTAGGCATTCTACAGGCACCATTATTACAATTACCACCATCTTTAGTAGAATAGTCCTTACTCTTTTCATGTATTTGTTTTTTAATTTCTATTTATGTTGATAGGTGGATGGTTTGAAGAGTGCAATTATTCAGTTGGCAGATGCAGGATAGCTTGCAAAGAAAATGAGAAGCCGAAAGGAACATGTGTGGGGAACAAACTTTGCTGCCTCCCTGTAATAAAGCAGAAATCATCTGCCTTCGCAAGAAACAAGAAATGACATGTAAGACTATGGCAAGTGCAACTAACGCTCTATTTAAGACTTGTGACAAAAAGAATTTTAAGAGACCTTATAATGAGTCAGTGAAATGACTATGTAGGCACCTGCATGGTTCTTAGATTTTAGATACCTGCTGGGTATTCACATGGCTCATTAAAGAAAATATGCTCATTTCAGCTATTATATCTTGTCTCTCTAGTCCTCTGTAGCCTAACATCTCTAGATTGTCCCAGGATATGACTAATAATATTGATCCTCATGGTAAGATAATTTTATAGGATCTGGATCCTGAATTCCTTAGCTTCTGACTAGGTGCTACTAGGTCCCTGAATGTGCATGTTTTCCATACTTAATGCAAATTCCACCTTGGCCACACATTAATCTGATGTCTCATCCTGGATTATTGAGATAGGCCATAGTGATATATATATATATATATATATATATATATATATATATATATATATATATATTGTTTGTTTGTTTGTTTGTTTGCCTGTTTAGCTCAAGGTTTAGCCCAAGGCTCTGCTTCTTGGTCTCCCTCTTAAAATGTATCCCTCACCTTCATCTTACAATCACAATTTGCTGTCCAAAGATAGGCATGCCCTCTGAGCAGAAGGCAACCATTTCTGCCCCAACGAAATGGAAGGGGGAAGTAGTCAAAACAAAACAAAACAAAACAACCCCTTCAGCATTTAAAGAGAATTTACTGTGTGCAAGACCTTCTTCAAAACACTTAACATATATAACTTCATTTTATCCAACAACTGTTCCATGACGTTACCTCAGAGGTTTCAGTTCCCGACCACCTAAACAAGCCGAATAGCGCAGTAGCAAGACACATCTTTTGATTTCCCAGTGCATATAAAAGTTATATTTATACTGTATTACAGTCTATTAATTATACAATAGTATTGCGTCTAAAAATCCATGTACATACTTTTAATTAAAAAAATACTTTATTACTAAAAAATGCCAACCATCATCTGAGCCTTCGGCAAATTGTTTTGGTGGTGGCTGCCACAAACCTTCCATTCATTAAAAAAAAAAAATTTAAAAAATAACAATATCTGTGAGGCACAATTAAAGCAAAGCATAATAAAACGAGGTATGCCGGTATAGTGTATTATGTCCCTTTTGCAGGAAAGGAAACTAAGTCTCAGAGAGTTTAAATGCCCTGCCCCAGAAGGCACAGATATTTGGTTCAGTAGCAAGACTTTGAACCCACGGGGACTGGATGATACATTAAGGTTCCTCAAATGGAAAATGATTGTTGCCATAAGAATAGCTTCCCTTTAGTGGGAGCGGCCGGGAGAGGTTGATGCGGGGAAAGGAGACATATGTAATACTTTAAACAATAAAGAACTTAAATTAAAAAATTTCAGATACAAGAAAGGAAGAAAGGAAGAAAGAAGGAAGGAAGGAAGGAAGGAAGGAAGGAAGAAAGGAAGGAAGGAAGGAAGGAAGGAAGGAAGAAAAAATTTCCCTTTACTCTTCCTACCCAGAACCCACTTCCTTAATATGGAAGGTGTGGTGAAAGGGAAAGCCTTGTGAGCCTCCCTGTGGTTAAAATAAGTAACAAAGCCAGCACTAACTGGTGTATCCAAGCACAAATATAAATCATCCCGCGTTCCAGTTAAAGAGGAAGTTGTGCCCACTTAGCAGACAGTCTTAGCTCTGAGGCCAATGCCAGTCAGGTCTAAAGTGGAACACAGTCAAAAGACAATGTGCAAAACTCATTACAATAATCCCAGCTTCTTATTTTTCAACCCATATCTCAAAGTATGTCTACATTGATTCTCTCATTTACCCCACTGCAATACCATGAAGTGATATTTATATCCTAAACCGAACAGGCTGACCTTGTGCTATCTGGAGAATGGATCAGAGTCTACATCTCAGATTACCTACACACTGTGATTCCAATGAATAGTTCACCTTTAACCCAGACCACACCAGTGGCTGCAGAAAACCCTTAGGAGCTACCTGTTCTTGTATCATGAGTTTTTGTATATTTTGTGCTTGGGAAATTATGCCTACAAAGGAACCCCAAGTCTTAGAGAGTTGGGAAAACATGACTCCAGGTCTCTAATCCTAAAGAAGTGAAAAGGGTGCAGAGGAAATGCAGATGGACTAATAGGATATGACTAAAATCATCTTACTACTCTAGGCCTCAGTTTGCTCTTCACCAAAATGGAAATGTTGGATTAGATTATAAACTCCATATATCTTTCAAACCTTAATACCTTCTTCATTCTTGAAATTATGGTAGAAAATCTACTCTGTACCTGAGACTTTCAAAGATGCCACCTCAGAAAGCAAAGACGTGGAAGGTGAGAGAGATTAAGAAACAGGAAAGTGGCCTCAATCTAAGTACTCAAATCATAATCTTAAAATATATCTTAGATACCCTTTTGTTCCTCACTGACCTCCAACATGCCAGCCACAATGATTTTCCAAGACTGCCTCCATAGCACCTGTTCTCCATCTCTGCCTCTACTATTCTATATTCTAATTCAACCATCCTTCCTTACCAGTAATTATTGGCTAAACTGTGTCCCCTCAAAACTCATATGTTGAAATTCTAATCACCAGTACCTAAGAATGTGACTGCATTTGGATTCAAAGAGGTAATTATGCTAAAATGAATCATTAGGGTGGGCCCTAAACCAATAGACTGGCATCCCTATAAGAAGACACAAATACACACAGAAGGGAAACCATGTGAAGACGGAGACAAGACAGCCATCTACAAATCAAAGCGAGAGACCTCCAAAGACACCAACTCGGTCAATACCTTGACCTTGGACTTTCAGCCTATAGAATCGTGAGAAAATAAATGTGTTGTTTAAACCACTGAGTCTGCTGTGCTTTTGTGGTGGCAGTCCTAGAAAATTAATGTGCACCATACTGTAACACGTGCATCCTCTGGGTCTCTTTGTCATTATGACTCTGACTCACTTTAATCTTTATGACTCACTTCATTATGACTCTGACTCACTTTAATCTTTCTATACAGTTGCCAGGGGATTCTATCTAAAACCTATCTAACATTTAAATGTTTCCTTTTAAACCCTTCAAAAGCTGAACAGTGGTTAAAGGAATCAATTCTAAACTCTCTTTATGATAATCTCCTGCCCTCCTTGGTAGTCTCCCTTCCAATTCCCACCGTGGACCTCACAAACAACTGTGTTCTTGGGAATTAATCTGTTTCTCTCACCCCACATCCCCTCTTAAAATATTTTTAAATATTTCAGAGAGGAAGGGAGAGGGAGAGAGAGATTGAGATATCAATGATGAGTATCATCAATTGGCTGCCTCCTGCATGTCCCTCACCAATGATTGAGCCGCAACCCTAGCATGTGCCCCAACCAGAATGGGACTGTGACCTCCTGATTTGTAGGTTGATGTTCAGCCACTGAGCCACCACAGCAGGGATCTCTCCCCCTTTTTAAATATGCTTCCCTTTTGTGGAGAAGATTCTCTTTTGCAAACCAGATTTATGATTCTCTGTAATCAACATCTAAATATAAAAATAATTTTTTTTGCCCTAAGCCATGCACATTCATTCCTTTTTCTACCCAGAGAGACCTTTTTATTTACTTTGTTGTATTTCTTTTTTCAAATACAAGTTGTATCATTTAAGGAATGATGATTTTATAGACAACGTGATGAGTTGGTATATGTATACATACTTTTATTATGTATATGTCATACTCAATTTAAACATATGCATAATAAAAGCATGTATACATATATCAACTCATCAAGTTGAACTGTTTAACATTGAAATTGGGACTCAAAAGAACTGTTGGTCCAGAAAGAAACTCACTACAGACTGATTCATTTGCCTCTCAGCATAACCAATATGGCTGGTCTCATTTTCAGTTCTTATAAGTGTATTTCTAGTATCACATGATCTCACTCATCTAGGGGAAATAATGAACAATATAAACTGATGTACAAAAACAGACCCAGAGACAGGGAAGCATCGATCAGACTGTCAAGCCTCAGAGGGAAGGTAGAGGAGGGTGGGGGTAAAGGGAAGAGATCAGGACTTGTATGCATGCATATAACCCTAACAAGTGGTCACGGATAACAGGGGTGGGGAGAGGCATGCATGGGGAGGAGTTTGAGATGGGAATGGGGGGATGAGGACAAACCAAACATGTGATACCTTAATCAATAAAGAAATTTTAAAAAATAAAGTGAGTATGGTAAAGCAGATGTTCAATTTTTCATTTATATACCTACAAGCAGATGAGGGAGCCAGTTCCACCGTAAGGAAGAGGCCTGTGCTTAACCATTTTAGCATATGCTGAGTAACATCTCACTGAGGTTTTATTGGCTTTTTTTGTTTGTTTAGTTGGCATTTAAGTATCCAATCTTGTGAAGTGCCTACCCATGTCTTTTCCACACTCTCTGATAAGCAAGGTAAAATATAATTTTCCTTCCTCTGTATTACCGTGTTTCCTCAAAAATAAGACATCCTCCGAAAATAAGACCTACTTGCAGGTTTCCTTCTGAGTGAAATATAAGGCATCCCACCAAAAATAAGTCCTATCTCCAGACTCTTGATATTGCAATAAACAAGCCATTCCAAGACAATTTGCGCATGGAAATTAATGACTACATTGAAAATAGAATGGAGAGAAATCAGCGTGGAAACTTTGTGGAACCTTAACTGCAAGAAGTTGTGACTTGGGTGAAGAATTCATGGGAGAAAATCACTGACAGTTGCATTGCAAATGCACTGTGAGCAGGCTACCTTGACAAGAAGTACTCATTTAAAGACAGTGCTATTGCCAAACATAAGAGATTTGGTCCACTGATTCTGAAAGAAATGGAGTCACAAGAAATTCACCAGGAAATTCAGGAATTGGATTGTTATGATGATGTTCCAGAAGATGATGACATGATTGTCATTGAATAAATGAGTAAATTCTTGATACTGTAGGATTCACAATTTGTCTGGTTTGTATTGACAACTACCGTACTACCGTACTGTATACTGGTAATAAATTTCCTTTATTTTCATTTAATAATAAATGTGTACCGTATTCTTCTTCATGGAAAACTAAGACATCCCCTGAAAATAAGACCTAGCGCATCTTTGGGAGCAAAAATTAATATAAGACACTGTCTTATTTTCGGGGAAACAGGATATTTATGTCTACTGGACTATCTCAGCATTTTATTTGCTTTCTTGACTTGAGCCTTTTACCAAATTCAATGGCTCCCACCCAACTTCCCTCCTCCAATCATGAATCTTCATAGAATAAAAGACAGATACAGGAGAATGGATGCAATTTTATAGTGAAAATATTTGACAGGAAGATTTCCAGAAGAGGAAAAATCATAGAATCTTCAGTAGGAAGGTTGACTTGAGGTGGTATATTCTATTTTAAATTCCTCTTTTACATAAGAAATAATTGTTGAAGATGAATCCACACAACACAGTTGGTTGTTTTCAAAACAGTAATGTAATTCAACTTCTGATTGTCTGCATTTCTTTCTGCATATTCCTTTGCCTTTCTCACACGTAATTTCCGATTTCATTGGCTTAATTCTGTAGTGTAATTTATTCATACTTCCTGGAGGAAAAAAATATGGCTATAGTTAGACTCTATGCACAAGAGATGGAACCAGAATCATCTAGATTCAAACCCAAGCTCTGTTATTTGCTAGATCTTGGTCTTTGGAAAGTGATGTCAGCTCTCTGTCCCTTTGTTGCTCTCACCTGTGCAATGGCAATAATAAGAAAAGACTACTTCTTTCAGTTATTGTGATTATTAAATGAGTTCATACATGTAAGTTCTTAGAATAATTTCTGACACTTATTAAGAGGTAACTAAACATTAGGTTTTGTTGTTATAATTGTTGTCATTACCACTGTTATTATTATTACTAGATAAAGGTATTTTTTCAAGAGTTTATGACTACAGGCTTGGGCAAATTTCCATTTGCCTGAATAGATATACCTTCTCAGTGCTCAGCTTCTTTGAGATAGCCAGGGTTTATTACAAATTAGGACATACACATGTTTATCAGTGCCTTGCCTTCTGTGGGTGCCTCCACTTACCTCCCACAGAAATAGTATTTATACCAATGGACACAATATCAGGGACACATGTATACAACTCAATTTATTCCAAGATCTACAAACACACACAAACCCTGCTTGGACACGTGTGTGTTTGCAATACACACCCATAATTGTGTATTCACAACCTTGTATCAAAACACAGGCAAGCAAACCAGTCACTCAGATTATACATGTGTATCCAACCCTTTTGCCTGAAAATACTTTAGTGATTCAATTCCTGGTATACAGCTACCATATCTATCAGCACTAATTAGTAGCAACAGCTGGATTTCTTAAAAAAATTAAGAAAAGGCCTTTAGAAAGAAAATAATAACTACTAGCAATCATTTAACACCACTTGTGTCAAAATTTTTATATGTTACTTCAATGAAAACTATCATTATATCTTTTTTTTTCAATTAAGAAAACTAAAGCACAAAAAGATACTATTGTTCTGCTGAGGTCCCCAAATTAGTAAGGGAGGGAACCAAGATTTAGTTTCTGGTCTACATGACTCAGAAATCTAGAGTGACATCATCAGCAAGATGGTAGACAAAAAAGTTTCAGGTCCTCATTTCCCTCACAGAAGAAAGCAAATAAACAACATGTGGACCAAAGTAGTTTTGTGAAAAGGAACTCCAGAACCAGGTAAGAAGCTGAATTAATCAAGCAAACACCTTAACAACAACAACAACAACAAAATTCACACTCAAGAATGTTAGGAATAGCCGAAACCGGTTTGGCTCAGTGGATAGAGCATCAGCCTGCGGAATGAAAGGTCCCAGGTTTGATTCCAGTCAAAGGCATGTACCTTGGTTGTGGGCACATCCTCAGTAGGGGGTGTTTAAGAGGGGGATGTGCAAGTGGCAGCTGATCGATGATTCTCATTGATGTTTCTAACTCTCTACCCTCTCTCTTCCTCTCTGTAAAAAATCAATAAAATGTATTTTTTTTTTAAGAATGTTATGAACATTTATGGCATTTTTGCTTTTTTTCCCCATCTACTTTTTGGTGCAGTGATCAAAGAGACGCCACCCAATTTTCAGCTCTTCCATCCGGATGGAAAGAAAGAGTGGAATTTGCTTACAATATTCTGGGTAGTCTTTAAGCCACCTGAGTGTCTGCCTTATTTGACTCAGAGAATTGAAGAAAATGGGGCATAATTTGGACATCAGATAGGAGGCTGCTGAAAGCAGTGGTAGGTACTACAGCTTGTGAGACTATAGTCTCATGGGAGCCTCAGAATAAGAACTAAATATAGGAAGCAAAAAATGACAGAATTAAAGAAACAAACAGACCGTTTTCGTGGTCCCAGATGGTTCCCACGGCACCAGGTGGCGTCCATGACACTAGTGGGCCTCCACAAATCCAGGTCCCCAACTCACCCCAGTATCTGCAGGTTTCATGGCCCTGGCATCATCCACAGCACCAGGCTCACAGGAATTGAGCTGCTCTCTACCCTTTCCACCTCCCCTGGGCTCACTCTGAAGCCTGCTGGCTCTAGTGGTCTCAGGAGGCTTCCAGGCCTAAAGCAGCTCTGGCAGCACCAGGCTCCCAGAAGACTCCTGCAAATCCAGACCACAACTCACCCTGGCATCTGCCAGCACTAGTGACCCAGGCATCTCCAGTGACTCCAGCTGGCTTCCTCCATTCCAGGCTCTCCATGGGCCCCTCTGAACCCAGATGCCTGTCAGCTCAAGCAGCCCTAGTACCTCAGCTGTCCCAGGTGCCTACCAGAGCTCCAAGAAGATTCCTTGGCTCCAGGGTCCTAGAGGACCTCCAAGCTAACATAGCATCTCCTGGCTCCCATGGCTTCAAGTAGCTCCTGTGGCCCCACAATCCCAGTGAGCTCTGACAATCCCAGACTTCTAGCCCACCCCAACACTGGGCACTTCCATGGAATCAGGATTCTCTTGCACTTCTATAAACCCATGCTTTTCACTACAATACCAATTGGCCCTTATGACACTATTCTTTCAGTGCATCCCAGAACTGACTAGTTCTTGTAGATATGGGTGCCTCCTAAAGTCCCAAGCTCCCCACTCCTCCCCCCCCCCCCAAAAAAAAAAAAACACCACTAGTAAACCCAGGCTTGAGAGGGGCATCTATGAGCACAGGATTCTGAAAGGACCCAGTACCAGGATGACTTCTGCCATCCCAGACTTTTGACACACTCCAACCCTAGACCATCCAAAATTCTAGCATTAAGCCTCTCTGGGAACACCACTTTATGGCCCACCCAGAAGGGCTGATTGGTGAAGAGCTTTGCCTTCTAAAGTTAGTCTGTAAAGACTTTTCAAATGCACAGACACTCAAGCAAATACACAAGGATAATAAATAATCAAGGAAACATGACACCACAATAGGAAACTAATAAAATTCCAAAGATTGACCCTAAAAAATGGAGATCTATGAACTATTAGACAAACGATTTAGGATAATTCTCAAAGAAATTTAGTGAACTATAAGAATACAGACAACTAAATGAAATTAGAAAAACAATGAATGAACAAAATGAAAAGTTTAACAAAGAAATATAAACCATTAAAACACACACGAGAGGGAGAGAGAGAGAGAGAGAGAGAGAGAGAGAGAGAGAGAGAGAGAGAGAGAAATCCTAAAGTTAAAGAATACAGTGACTGCCCTAAAGAACCCAGTAGAAACTTGTAACAGCAGATTTGACCTAGCAGAGGAAAGAATTAGTGAACTATAAGATAGGTCATTTAAAATCATGCAGTCAGAGGAGCAAAAAGAAAATGAAGGAAAAAGAGTGAAGAAAGCTTGCATCAATTGTGGATACTAGTAAGAGCTAATCTATGCATTATTGGAGTCCTAGAAGGAAAAGAGAGAGATAGAGAACAGAAAGCTTATTTAAAGAAATAGTGGATGTGAACTCCCCAAATAAGGGAGAATTAAACATGCAAGTCTCTGAAATTAATGACACCCAAAAGTTTAACCCAAAAAGAACATTATAATAAAACTACTAAAGTTAAAGACAAAGAGAAAAAATTTTAAACAGCAAAATAAATTTTTCACATATAAAGGAACCCCCATAGGGCTATAAGCAATTTTCTTAGAAATTAAAAACAAAAAAACAAAAAACATTGCAGGTCAGGGCAGTGTGGATGATATATTCATGTAAAAAGAAAAAACTACTAATCAAGAAAAAAATTACTAACCAAGAAAAAACTACTCAGCAAAGTTTCTTTCAGGAATAAAGAAAAGATAAAGCTGAGAAAGTTCATTACCAAGATCACTTAAAAAGACGCGGAAAAACTCAGGTGTCTCATTTAAGTCCAACAGCCCTATCCCAAGTTAATCTAAACTCTATCCATATATTCACCTTCCTTAAAACAAACACCTGACAAAACTTGACTCCAAATCCCAACCTTACTTCCATCCTATGCTATCCCAAGACAAACACAATAATCAAGCCACTCTACACCAATATCCAGCTTCAACTCAACAATATACCCAAGTAGATACTCCAACTACTCCAATTCCAAGCTTCACCCAACTTCACTGCAAGATCCATTCAACCACAAATATTGTTCCCAATCCTGCCTATTCCAAACCCAGTCTAATTTCATAAATATAATCTTTCACTTTCAGCTAATTACTATTTATTCTTCTACCATTACCCCAATCAAATGGTCTTATCCTCTCACCAAATTCACTTCCCAATGTCCAAAGTAACACTTTGATTTATCTTATATTTATATCTCAATTAGGACTTAATTCCACAAACATAATCCATGCCCAAGCTTTCATCCCAATAACATTGCTACCCTAATATGCTCTATGCTAAATATTCTCTACAACTGCTTCACCCAGGAACACCAAACCTTTAAATGGATCATAGCAATATAAATCCAGTAAGATCCTGGCATAATATGAACCTGAAGTTAACATCCCTAAGTTGTCTGACATTAGGTTAGCAAAGTTGCAAAACCACATGCAGTACCCCAGAACTTTTGAGAGTGCCTTGAGTTACCTGAAGTCTTATGAACCAGAATCAGAAAGATGACAATGGTAATTAAAAAAACCTTCATAACTGATAGATTCTGAGAGAATGAAGGGCACACACAGGAGACAGAATAGAGATATTTGCAGCAGGGCAGTGCCCTGCTTTATTAGTTTCAGAAGTAGGTTAGATTGTGGGCAGGGATCTAAGAAAGATGGGACATACTTGAGGTCATCCAGGCAGAAAGATAACATGTGTTACATATGTCATCTGGGCACTCTGTGTAAATGTAGGAGCTTTGCCAGCACCCACACCAAGGTGGGCCTTCCCAGTAAGAGAGAGAGTAAAATTAAAGCCAGTTTGTATATCATGTAAATTGGAAAGAAAAATTGGAATGAATGAAAGAGTTAATCAGCACAATAATGAAAAAAAAAAACCACTAATAAGTAATTCTAAGAAATAAAGAAGCTTTAAAAATAGTTCTTTATACTCTTGTCAGAAGTACACCACATTAATCAGTAGTACTTACTATATATATATATATATATATATATATATATATATATATATTAGTACAGCAGTGTACTAGCCATCAGGATAAAAGGGGGGTGGAAACAATGTGGGGAAATTGAGGGATGGGGGATGGAAAAAGGAAAAAAATATGGGAAGTAAAAAACAAAAATTAGAGAGTAATGGTAAGATAGCAAACTAAGAGATCCCACTTCTCACCCTGCCCCCTACCCACACACATACACAAAAATTATCCACTGATGAAAGTAGTTCTGGAAGGGGTCCAGAGTACAAGAAGAATCTACCGCAACCCAATGGAACACAAAAAAAAAAACAAGATTGGCTGTATTGAAAACTGTTGGAAGCATTTTATCAACATCACCCCACCCCAGCCTAGCAAAGGTCAGCACCAAGAGGGATCCCCTCATGAGTGAACTCCATCTGCACAGGAAAAGGAGAGAAAAAGAACCCCAGAAACCTTTGCCACCAAGGAACCAAACAGTCCTCACCACTGTGTCTCTTTCACATCAATGTGTCTCTCTGTTTCTTTCCCTTCCTTCCACACTCTCTAAAAATCAATGAAAATATGTCCTTGGATGAGGATCAGCAATAACAAAAAGACACTACAAAGAAAGAAAAGTATAGGCCAACATCCCTGATGAACATAGATACCAAAATCCTCAACAAAATATTAGCACATCAGACCCAGCAATATATTGAAAAGATCATACACCATGACCAAGTGGGATTTATTCCAGGGATTCAAGGCTGGTAAAATATTTACAAATCAATAAATGTTATGTATCACATAAACAATTATAAATATAAAATCACATGATCATATCAATAGACACGGAAATGATAAACTCTCCGAAAAGTGGGAATAGAAGGAAGGAAGGAAAGAAGGAAGGAAGGAAGGAAGGAAGGAAGGAAGGAAGGAAGGAAGGAAGGAAGGAAGGAAGGAAGGAAGGAAGGAACTAGACCACCAACTTACACCATACACATGAATAAATTCAAAATAGATAAAAGACTTAAAGGTAAGTTATGAAACCATAAGCATCCTAGAAGAAATCATAGTCAGCAAATCTCAAATATCTCACATAGCAGAATTGTCACCGATACATTGTCTAGGCAAAAAAAAGAAAGAAAAAAAAAAAAAGGAGAAAATGAACAAATGGGACTATATCAAACTAAAAAGCTTTTGCAAAGGAAAAGAAGCCATCCTCAAAATGCAAAGGGAATCCATTGTGTGGGAGAACATATTTGCCAATGATACATGTGATAAGGGGTTTATTTCCAAAATATATAAAGAACTTAACAAAAGGAAGACAGACTATTCAATTAAAAAAAATGGGCAAAGGACCTGAAAAGACACTTTTGTAAAGTGGACATACAGATGGCCAAGAGGTATATGAAAAAATAGTCAATGTCACTAAGCATCAGAGAGATGCAAATTAATCACCTCACACCTGCCAGAATAGCTATTATCAATAAATCAACAAACAACAAGTTCTGGCAAGGATGTGCAGAAAAGGGAATCCTAGTGCACTGCTGGTGGGAATGGGGACTGGTGCAGCCACTAGGAAAAACCGTGTGGAGTTTCCTCAGAAACTTAAAAATGGAACTGCTGTTTGACCCAGTGATCCACTTCTGGGAATATATCCTAAGAATCCCAAAACGCCAATCAGAAAGAATATATGCACCCCTATGTTCATAGAGAGCATATAGAAACTCTGATAATAGGTTGGTTTTTAAGTCTGGTAACAAATACAAGTGATAGACATATGGGAGGGGTGTTTTAGGGGGTTTGCTCGGTCTATGTGTATCTGAAAATGAGGAGCCTTTTTTTTTTTCTTTTTGAGGTTCATTAATGATGTTTGTTTGTTTGTTTGTTTTTCAACCTCTCATAGAAATATCAGTAAAGAAGGGAATTTAGAATTTTGATTTCCTTTTGTAAACCTTTTCCCACAAAATACCATGACTAATTTCTGGCCAAAATGGGAGATTTCCAGGTTTTTCTCTTAGATGTGTCGATCATCTTTCCTTTAGAATAAAGGAGGAAACCGACTCTAGTTTGGAAGTAATCTCCGGTCACCAATTCCAAACTTTTCTTTGTGATACTACAGTAGTTTAAAATAAACTAAACAGAGATGGAACTTCCTTTTTGACCATTTGACTGCAGATCCTGCAAAGTAAGGTCTAATCTAAAAAATTGGAGCACTGATTTTTCTCAGGTATAGACAGTAAGGGTTAACAGGCAAAAAAAACACTTTCCATGGTCCCTACCTGAAGAACATAGCATTTCTGAGCTCAGGTGTGGAGCCACGGCCTCTCAGGCCACAGAAGGGAAACCATGGAGGAGGATCTGAAAGTTAGGCCATGTGTGCATCCTGTCCTCCACCTCCACTCTTCTTAGATCTTAGAAACTATGCCAAATTGCTGCACAAGAATGGCCAGACTCAACATTCTAAATCAATGCTTGCTATTCACTAGAACTGTTTTTCAGGAAGGAAGGGAAAGATTGCCTATCAGCCAGGGGCTGGGAATCACTTCATTCCCATTGTTGAACACATCAAAATTACATACTTTCTTTTGCAACTTAATTTACCTTAAAAAAATCCATATAAGAGGCAATCAATCGATGTGCCTCTCTCACATTGATGTTTCTCTCTCTCGGTCTCCTCCCTTCCCTCCCATTCTCTCTAAAAAGCAATGGAAAAATATACTCAGGTGAGGATTAATAACAACAACAACAATCCCTATAAGATTTGTGTTGAGCTGAAACCGGTTTGGCTCAGTGGTAGAGCGTCTGTCTGTAGACTGAAAGGTCCCAGGTTCGATTCCGGTCAGGGGCATGTACCTTGGTTGCAGGCACATCCCCAGTAGGGGGTGTGCAGGAGGCAGCTGGTCGATGTTTCTCTCTCATTGACATTTTTAGCTCTCTATCTCTCTCCCTTCCTCTCTGTAAAAAATCAATAAAATATATTTTAAAGGAGATTTGTGTTGATAAGCAGTGGGAAAGGTGAAACTCGAAAAGGAAACATGAAACTAATGTTGATGAGAATGCAGGAGATCTTATAAAATAGCAAACTTCAAAGACACTGTTTAATGGGAGTACTAATAACAAAATAAAGATAGACAGATATATATTTGAAAAGACAGGAAATCACATTTCTTTCTTTTTTTTGGGGGGGGGGAGAGCATGAGGGGGAAGGTGACACTGAAGATCCCTAAAGGAGTAATAATGTACATTCAAGGGAATAAAACATTAAAGGTTTCTTAATTAGTTGAGAATTTTCACTTTCAGAACAGTGAATCCTTCACTTAGGATTGTGCAAAGGCTGATTTCATCATTAAATTAAGGTGAGTTTAAAAGTTAGAACTAAAACACATTTTAATGGCTTCGACATGGTGACTTGAAATGAATTTGGGGGGGGGGGGGGAGATGAAGAATGACTCTCTCCCAAGTTTCTGAATTGAGCAACAGAATGAATTGTAGATATCAATTACTGAAAAGGGGAGACAAAGGAAAAGCCAGGCAAACAGATTTAAAATCCAGTTTAGGACATTCTGAGCATGAATTAGATAAGAAATATAAGAGAACATAATAAATATATAATTTAAAATATGAGTTTGGACCCAGTCTGAGGTTGAATACAGAACTTACCCAAGATCAGATAGCTTCTGAGCAGTGGTGGGGAGCAAGAGCCAAACCCTCTGTCTCCATATTCGTGTTTCTTTCTCTAAGACGTGTAGAAACTAGAGAAGTGGAAAGCTGCTTTAAATAGAGAATTCCACAACTATCATCTCTCTAAAAATACTGCTTTGAGTAGAAGGTCTAGAAATATATATTTCAACTACAATGCTGAACCCAGAACTGACACTTTCTTCCAAATATTTAAATGTGTCTAATCATGCTACTTATGCCAGTTTTCTGTGACTCTTCTTGAAACTTGGCTTCTGCCAAGTCCCTATCTGCTGCGTGACAAACACATCTGAGTGTCAGTGAATCTAAAAAATATAAGCATCTTTAAATTTTCCCATCAGACTTCTAAGTTCCATGAAAATTCAAATGAAGCTGTATAAGTCTGCTGTTTAGTTCATGGCCTTTGATCACTGGTTTGGTCTGGAATTATCATTCGTCTAATAATGAAAAATGCAGGTAGACTGTGGTGAATAGGAGATGCTGGGGGCTAATTGCAGCAGGTCATAAATGCAAGAAGTTCATCAAAAGGTTGATGAACCTTGGGGCTTCAGCAGGGCTGAAAATATGCATATTATTACCTGCTGCTTAACAGCTATGGGCAGTTTCTTCAACCTGATAATACTTTATTGTTTATCAAACCTTACATTTAATATGTATATCTGCTTTGCTGTAGGGGAAAATGTGTGAATAAAAAGCCTTGGGCCCAGAGACTCGGAGAACTTAATTACTAGAACTGAGCCTCCACTGGCTCCCCCCAAATTCATATTTTTATTAATTTATGTCGCAGCCCCCGTCTCCAGATTCCTGAATCCTAGTAGATGTGAATAAGACCCCGGCAAGGAGAGAGAGAGAAAATAGGAAAGATGACAAAT